CAAGACTAAATCAGTGCTTGGTCTGGAGATAATTACTCTACACTACTGTACACTGAGGCAAATCTTTTACACTAAACACTATCATTCTATCACATCATGGGGTACCATTCTACCCCACTCCCAGTCAATCATGAAAATTTCCATTCTAGCTGGTAGCAGGTATTATCCCTGACTCTTTCAGCTAGGTCATCTTTGCCTGGCCTCAAGTAGTTTCCTCACATGCATAGGCTAATCAGTGCACAGATGCTCAAAGGTGACTCTGCAGATTTCTGGAGTTCACTCTCTGTGCAGCAATCCCTCCTCTAGTAATCTGTCTTGCTGTCTTAGTCTCTACAGGCTCACAGCTCTCCTCAACTTGGGTAGTTCAATGGCTCTCCCTAGATTCCCTTACCTTGTACTACAGCATGGAAACTCAAAGCAGTAAGAAAGGGCAATTGTAGGGCTCATCTCATGTTTTCCATCTCTTAGAGATGACTGTACTTTACTGTGTGATGTCACATGTCTTGAAGCCACTGTTTCATATATGTTGTCTGTTGGTTATTTCAGGCAGGAGTGCAATGTGGTCACTCTATCTTGACTGGAAGCATAATTCTTGAGCTATTTCTTGTGAAAAAGAAAGGCTGACTCAGGATTAAACCAAAGCAGAGGGCAGAGCAAAGAACCACAGAATCTTCTCAAAAGGCAGGCCTAAGACCCTAATCAAGAAACTGGCAACATATGCTCAGCTTAATTTTGGAACTACCAGAAGTGACTGTTATGTTCCTCTTGCAATCCTTTCAATAACTGTGCCTACTGCAGTTAATGTATGCTTCTCTTACTATTGTATGTTTGGTGTATGTGTGTGACAAGGGTGCAGATAACTTCCCTCTTAAATTCACAGGTCTTCAGAGTGAATGGAAGCACACCCAAGTAGCCCCATCTCCACCTGGCCTGATTTAGATGAGATCCCTTGAAACTCAAGCCTGAGTCTAATGCCCTACTGGGGCGAGACTTTCTTGGGAGGATTTGAATGTATTTTTCGTGTGAGACAAATGTAAATTTGCAGCCAGAGGGTGGACTGTGGTAGATTAAAGAGGGCCACAAATTATCTTATACTCCTTCCATTAAGAGGTAGGATTATGACCCCTCTTCTTAAATGTAGGTGGGCTCTGTGACAATTTTGACAGAGTACAGCAAAAATGAGGCTATGCCAATATTGGGGCCCAAGCCCTAAGATACTGACACCTTCCACCTTTTATGCCTTGGAATTGCCCTTTAGAATAGTTGTTCTAGGGGAAGCCGGAAACCAATATTTAGAATAGGATTTCTAGGTAAATACATTTATGGGGCAAAAGCCCTCAAGTAAGGGGCCACAGCCCACAGATAGCTGGGCAACAGCCCATCTAATCAACTCTAATCACTGCTTAGGTATGGGATTGTATACTTTAATGATTTTAGAGCTGACAGGTGGTTGTCATACCGATCCTGTTAAGAGATTTTAAGAACTGCTGAAAGGAAAGATGTGAAAAAAATGTTTGCTAGGGGCAAACTGTCTTTTGGGGGAAACTTTAGAGATAATTGTACTTAGATTTTATCGTTTGATTTTAGAATAGGGTTTTTAGGTAAACACATGTATGGAGCAAAAGCCCTCTGGTAGGAGACCAGTCTACAGATAGAGGGTGACAGTCCATCTAATCAATTCTAATTAAATAATGTTGAATCTCATTTGATATTTAGAATAGGATTTTTAGGTAAATACATTTATGGGGCAAAAGCCCTCAAGTAAGGGGCCACAGCCCACAGATAGCTGGGCAACAGCCCATCTAATCAACTCTAATCACTGCTTAGGTATGGGATTGTATACTTTAATGATTTTAGAGCTGACAGGTGGTTGTCATACCGATCCTGTTAAGAGATTTTAAGAACTGCTGAAAGGAAAGATGTGAAAAAAATGTTTGCTAGGGGCAAACTGTCTTTTGGGGGAAACTTTAGAGATAATTGTACTTAGATTTTATCGTAAGAATGTAATTTTTGCTTAAGGAGAGGTTATACTTTAGATAATGAGCCAGTTTGACCAACTTAGCTTTTCACTAATTGTTCTTTGGAATGTCACATTGTTAATTTTACTGATGTTACTAGTTTCCATTGCTTAAGCTATACTTAGCCATAGATAACTATTGTGACACTGCCCTTGTCCTTGTATCCTTTTGTAATGATTGAATCAACTGAATTTTCTTGTGAAACTTCCTTGTCTTTACAATAAAAAACAGAAGCTAACTTTGAATCAGGGCCATACCCAGTTTTCTCCTTCTAACAGGAGAGTAGCTGGGGTACAGACCCTTCAGGCTTCTCATTGCATTCATGGTGCTTTGAGTAATCCTTTTTTCATCTCCATTACACAGTGAGAAGTGTAACAAAAAGTGACACCAGCCAGGCCCTAGCTGTTCCAGTCCTTCTTTGATTTTAGAATAGGGTTTTTAGGTAAACACATGTATGGAGCAAAAGCCCTCTGGTAGGAAACCAGTCTACAGATAGAGGGTGACAGTCCATCTAATCAATTCTAATTAAATAATGTTGAATCTCATTTGATATTTAGAATAGGATTTCCACTCCAGCTGAGGCCAGAGGCATGATGAAGAGGAGGCAAATCAGCCAGCTGAGCCCTGATCCAACACCTCACCAATAAATTGTGAGCTATAATAAAATGGCTATTAGTATAAGGTACTAAGTTTTGTAGTAATTTGTTATGTAGCAATATACAATGGGAACAGGAGAAAAATCAGAAGTTCAGTTTGGGTACGCCCATTACACAGATATAGATACAGTAGACATGTCAAGTTGTTTTTGGATATGAGAGTCTGGAATTCAGGCAAGAGTTCCAAAGTGAAGACAAAAATTTGGGAGACATCTTCATTGGCCTGTTCTACTTCTTCCATATTTTGCTTAATGCTTATTGTCCATCTTCTCCTGATACAGTTTAAATGCCTCAAAGACAGGTATTTTTGTTTTATTCAAAAAACACATGTATCCCCTGAATACAGAATAATGACAGGCATATTGAAGACAGTCAAATATTCATTGAATAAATGAGTCAAATTAAAAATGGCATTTAAGAACATTTTAATTATGAGGTTACCATGGAAATGAGTAAAGATAAGACTTTTTAATTTTTTTTTTAATATTTACTTGTACATTTTTGTGGGGTACTGTGTGTTGTTTCAATACATACATATTCTGCACAATTATTCACTTAGGGGAGGTAGCTTAGTTTTGTACCTGTTAGTCCACCACTTCTCCTCCACTGCCTCTGGCCTCTGGTAACCATTATTCTGCTCTCAACTTCTATGAGAATCACTTTTTTTTTTCTTTCCAGATTCCACACAGAAATGAGAGCATGTATTTCCATTGGTCTTTCTGTGCTTGACAACGTGATATTTTCCAGTTTCACCCATGTTTCTGCAAATGATAGGGTATCATTTCTTTTTACAGTTGAATAGTATTCCATTCTGTATATATACCATAGTCTTTTTATCCATTCATCTGTTGATGGACATTTAGGTTGATTCCATCTCTTGGCTATTATGCATAGTGCTGTGATGAACATAGGACTGCAGGTATCTTTTTGATATTTTGATTTGATTTCCTTTGAGTATATACCCAGTAGTGGGATAGCTGGATCATAAGGTAGATCTATTTTTAGTTGTCTGAGGAACTTCTATACTATTTTCTACAATGGCTGTACCAATTTACATTCCCACCAACAATGCAGGAGGGTTCCGTTTTTTTTGCATCCTCACCAGTACTTGTTATATTCTGTCTTGTTGACAACAGCCATTCTAACTGGAGTGAGATGATATCTCAGTGTGATTTTAATATGCATATCCCTGATTAGTGATTTTGAGCATTTTTTCATGTGCCTCTCAGCCATTTATATGTCTTCTTTTGAGAAACGTCTGTTCAGGTTCTTTGCCCATTTTTTAAATTAGGTTATTTGGGCTTTTTTGCTGTTGAGTTGTTTGAGTTCCTTATACATTCTGGATATCAGCCTGTTGTGTGATATGTACTTTGCAAACATCTTCTCCCATTCTGTATGCTGTCACTCTGCTTTGTTGATAGTATCTCCTGCTGTGCAGAAGCTTGTCAGTTTCATGTAGTCTCATTTGTTTATTTTTGTTTTAGTTGCCTGTGACTTTACAATCTCACTCAAAAAAGCACTGCCCATTCCCATTTTGTGTAGCATTTCCCCTGTGTCTTCTTCTAGTAGTTTCATAGTTTCAGGTCTTCCACTTAGATCTTTAATCCATTTTGAATTAATTATTGAGTATGTAGAGGAATAGGGGTCTAGTTTCAACTTTCTACATGTGGATATCCAGTTGTCCCAGCACCATATATTGAACAAGCTATCCTTTTTTCACTGCATATTCTTGGCAACTTTGTTGAAAATCAGTTGGCTATAAGCATATGGGTTTTTTTTCCAGTGTTTCTATTATGTTCCACTGAGCTACCTTTCTATTTTTCTGCCAGTACCATGCTGTTTTGGTTACTATAGTTTTATAGCATATTTTGAAATCAGTAAGTGTGATGTCTCCAACTTTGTTTTTTGTTCAAGATTGCTTTAGCTATATGTATTTTGTAAAGATAAGATTTGAACATGGGCATTGCAACATTTTGAGATTGAGTGGATGAAGAGGAACCAGCAAAGGAGAATAGAGAATATGACTAATAAGAAAGGAAAATAAATAAGAGACAGTGTTCTAGAAGCAAGGTAAAGAAAGTGTTCCAAGAAGGGAAAGTGATTAAGTACATCAATGATATGCTTAGAAATACAGTACAATGAACACTGAGCATTAATTACTGGATTTGCCAATGTGGAAGGTCATTGAAGACCTTAAAATAAGTTATATAAAATCAACGTGCTACAGGGTTAAAAGAAAAAAAAATTAAAAATAAAAGAATTTAGATGAATTATGCTGTCATCTGGAGAAATGGCTAGAGGGGGATGTGATGCCAGGGTTCATTAGTGATATAAAATGTTTTTATTTGCTAATATGGAACAATCCTGTAAAGAGGAGAAAAGACTAGCAATACAGAGAAAGTAGAGGTAATTGAGTAGGTGAGAAGGAATGAAATACAGTACATAAATGAGTAGACTGGCCCTAGATAAGAACAACAAAATAATTATTTACATATTTAAGAAGAGCAAAAGGAAAGTACATAGGTATAAATGCATGTATATTGGTAGATGTGGTAGGAACTCCCTTCCATTTGCTTCTATTTTCTCAGCAAACTAAGAAGGTCATCAGCTTAGAATGAAAAGATGGCAGGTATGAAAATAGTCCATTAGCACTGTACTCAAATATTCTTAGCATTTATCATATTGTGCTATAATTATTTATGTACCTGTCTCTTTCTCCATTAAACCATAAAATAATTTAAGGTAGGGGAAATACTTTTTACTTTTGCACTACCGCATGTAACACAGTGCTTTACAAATATACGTTAACTCACTAATTGAATAAATGAATGTTACAGATTCCTTTAAGACTGGAGCAAAGCCAAAAGAGTTTGAAAACAGCAATAAATGAAATACTGTCAAAAATCTATTTGATATATATGCTTATATGTAATTTGTAAATATTGAAAAATGGATACCATTAAGCTTCAACTTATTTGTGAAAGTAAAAAAAACTACACACAGAACATAAACATTTCTTTTTTAACATGCTAATAATAATATCCTGATATTAAAAATAATCTATACAGTTATGAGTTATTCTGCAGTCTGCTTCACACTGATTGTAGGTAGTCAACATTTCATGACAAAATGTCAAGGCTGAGAACCCAAAACAGCAAGATCTTTGAAAAAGACTTACTTCAACAATATCTTCCATATAAAAAAGAGTAGGAATACTCCCACACCACAGCCATATTTATAAGTACAGGGTTTTCTCTTGACAAATTAAGTAATTCAGATCAAGTGACAACAACAGAGAGTGCTCCTAACATGTAGAATACTCTTTTTATTTAAGATTTTGTGATGATCAATATAACCCCAAAACAATGATTTGGCTACAAATTTGAACTTTCATACAAACCCCAAACAACTGTAAATTGTGTTATCTGGAACAATTACTTTTAAAGCCACCAAAATTCAAAGATACTATTAATAAATCCAGAAATTAATACAAACTTGAATCGTGAATATATTTTATCATTTAATCCTTTAATACTTTTGAAACATTATTTTTCCTTTAACAAAAGGTATATTAGTCATACTATATGCTAGTGGTAGAAAATTAAGATCTCTTCTATAAAATCCTATAGAAAGAAATCTCACTTATTACTGAATATACCAAGTCTTATTATAAAAACTGTAAAAGAAGCTAGGCTTAACCTCGAAGTAGACCCACTTCCCTCTGAACAAAAGATTTGCTATGCTTCCTAGATATCACTTCAGAAAAGCCTTCTCTAAATAAACTGTCTAGTTTTTAACACCAGTAAGTAAGTACAGAACAGGAATGTGAGCAGGTCATCCAACATATCTGCCCTTACTCCATGGTCACTAAAATGAAGTCCACAGGAACAGGTGGGGAGGAAAACAATGATGCATGGTTGTCAGATACCCAGAGGAGTTTGCTGCTGTGACTCTCTTTACCTGTGACCTAAGGGTCAGTTGTTTATGCAGATGCAATGGAAATAAAATTGAATGGGACCTGAAGAGGATAGTAAAAATGAAACGTACACTTCAACATTTTTTACTTTTGGTGAAGTCATATGGTTTCCACCACTGAGCAAACTGCAGTGCTTTCTTCCTCTGATCTTCAAAGCTTTCTCGGATTCCTTTCCTCCAAAGTCTTGGTTCTATATCCAGCATTCCACCAATTATTTCCTTTCGATGAATGAAAAAAATACAAACAAATGCATATATAAATACTAATAAAAACAGAAATGAAATTATTGTTGTTTATGCTGCTATTAAATATAACAATAAGTAGTTCTCCATGACAATGTTCAAATGTTGCATAATTATTCGTTTCCAATAAAAAAAAAAATCCTGTTTTAAATTAGTTCAAACTATGTAAACTCTGATTCTAGGAGTCCTCCCCATGTCTTCTGTCAAGCAATTTGTCCATTTCATTGCTTAGCACATCTAACAGACAGTACCAAAGGGGAGGATGAGAAAGTGAAATTTAATTAATTTGGTCCACATTACTTGCTCTGGTAAACAGTTTGGAGAAAAAGTTAATCAGCTTGTAGCAATTATTAACTTTGTTGCTCAATGCAGTTGAATCTCAGGCTAATGTTCTCTCTGTTATACAGTATATTTATAAATCAGTTTCTTCCACTACTTGCTGGAGATATTTTTTCAGGAAACAAAATCATATTTTAATACAAACCTAAGTAAATCTAGAATTAAAAATTATAAATCACCTTCACTTAAAAATTTAGTTACATTCTCAAGCCTTGAAAAGAATGTCTTTTTGGTTATCTGCTTATTATTCTAAATAATTTCCTTCATGATCCTCTTCTTGTGCTATTAGCTATAGAAATTAATCAAATTTATGCATGTGAATATCCATGCACAGAAAGATAAGGGGAGATTTGTAATGCTTGGAGGGCAGTATAGTAATAAAGAAAAACACTGGACTAAGGATCAGATTCTGCATATTTAGTCTAATTCTATCAGACTGTGTGGTGAAATATTGGACAAATTATGTAACACAGGTTCTTCATCTTTACTCAGTAAATATACCATGGGGACCTACAATGCACAAGCAAATGCCGAATACTGAAGAAGATACAAAGATAACTAACATAGAGCTATCTGTCTTCAGAGAGCTTTAACATGAGCTGTGGTGGGAGCCAGAATAATGACTCAGCTATATGAAAGCCTGTCTTACAAAACAGAATAAAGTAAGTGCATAAGCAGACCATTTGGAGACTTAAAAGAAGAAAAAATTCTATTTCTTGAATAAATCAGGAGAAGTTTCATGAAAAGAAGACTTCTTTTCATCAGGAAAGGGAAATAAATGAGCCAACACAAATAGCAGTCTGTATAAAACATCAAGAGAAACAAATTGAGATTTACTGCAAGATTTCTCAGCATCAGTTTAAGTAAGCAATGTAGTTTAAGAAAGCCTAGCTTATAAATTAATCTGAAATTGTCCCTATAATATACCGAGTTTTGTTTTACATGTACCACACAGGATTGATTCTTGCTCTGTTACTGAAGCAGCTGTTAATAAAAAGAGACCATCCAATAATCTCTTCTTGCTGTCTGGGCAATTACTCAGGTATCAGGCTGAAGGGAGGAGTTCTTGTGCCCACAGGTTATTTCTTGAAAAAGCAAATTTTGAGAAAAATGGCTCAGTGACAGAATGCTGACTAGGGGAAACTTTCCTTTTAACCTTAAAACAGTACCATATAAACCAATTTACATGCATAATATTTGAAGGGGGGCAATCTACCAAATCTACCAATTAAATTTATTCAAGGAAAAAAAGGGTATTTTACTTCCTTTTCACTAGAATCAAGTTCTAACAAAATAAATCCAGAGTCACAGAGACTTCAATTAGGAAGCTACTGAATAACAACAGGATTTTTCAGAGCAGGAAAAAACAAATTTCTTTCTAGGTAACTCTGGGGCAAAAAAAAAAAAAAAAGAAAATTTCTCAAGCAAAAGTTTCTGTAACATATTGTAATGTTTTGAAGATACATAGACTTTGGACCCCTGGTTAATCCATTAAGAACAACAGCATAAAAAGTTTTAAATCTAAACCTCTGGAGTTGAGATTACTCCTGACACATCCCTATTCACTGTAAAAGATGGCCTTGTGAGGAGATGAAAGTGGGGAAGATGGGGACAGCGGGATGGGGAAAAGGGAGAAACCCAAGCAGAGTTCATCTAGGCACCTGTAATTTAGAAGAACTGAGTACACAGGGATGTTATGAGCTGAAAGACCGGAGCTACACTAGACTAAAAGGCCACTTCTACAGCTATTACTGCCCAGACTTCTTTTAACTGTTTCAGTAGCTGCATTAATTTCATTTCAGTTCCTGACACTAACTCCACAGACCTCTAATTTAAGGTCTACATCCCTACTAGAACATACTGGCAATTAAAAGATCTGTACTCTAACATCTGCCCAGAAACTATTTGTATGAAATGAGTCATGTATTCTTCTTGTCCTATACCTTGCTTAACTATAAATGAAGAAGTGAGATAATTTGTTCTCTAGTTCAACCATAACCATATGCACCTCTGTTTCTGTCACTTAGTAGCACATAACCATGGGCAAGTTAAATAATCTCTCTATAGCTCAGTTTCTTCACCTGTGAAATGAAAGTTATAACAACATCTACACAACAAGTTATTGTGAGCATTAAATGGGGGCTTAAACCAGTGGCTGGTACACTGTAAGCCCTTAATAAGTGTCAGCAATTATCATCATTAAAGCACAAGGCTGGCTAACTCCAAAAGAAAATATTTATAGTCACTACTGTTGACACTGTCAAGAAATGTTTGGCTCCAAAGTGATAATCCTGAGGCTGTTATAAACATCCTGGGATATTTATATTAATAATTACAAGGTTTATTAATAATTACAAGGTTCACTCTAAAAACTGGGTGGGGAAGTACTCACTAACCTCACTATACACTGTGCCCCAAGTTTTGATTTCCCTTCGAAAGAAAAATGTTAACCAAATTGCTAAACTCTGGAATTTTATCAAATTTGTGAGCATACCTTTCCAAAGTAATGAGGGAATTTGCGTTGATCTTCAATAACATGGGCAAACCCTCCTTGAAGGCCAAAGTCCACAGAGAAGTAAGGTAAGCCTCTGGGTACCTAAACAAACAGACAAATCACACATAAAATACAACA